ACACTGAGGGTTGCGATCCGTTGCCGGTCACAAAAAAAGAGACAAAAAGGGAAAAAAAAAACACTCACTCCCCATCCTCCTCCCCAGCCCCTGGCACCCCCCTTTCTACTTTCTGCCTCTGTGGATCTGACGACTCCAGGGACCTCCTGTGAGTGGGATCACACAGTGTTTGTCCTTGTGTGTCTGGCTTATGTCACTGAGCACAATGTCCTCAAGGTTCATCCACACTGTAGCGTGTGTCGGGATTCGCTTCCTTTTTGTGGCTGAATCATATTCTGTTGCATGTATGTACCACGTTTTCTTTATACACTCATCCATCGACGGACGCCTTTGGCTGTAGTGAGGCATGCTGCTGCAAACATCGGGGTGCAATATCTGTCCAAGACCCTGCTTTCAATTCGTATGGCTACACGCCCACAAGTAGCATTGCTGGTAACTCTACGCTTAATAATGTGAGGACCCACCTTGCTGTTTTCCGTAGCAACTGCACGGACGTCCCCACCGGCAGTGCACAAGGGTCCTCAGCATTGTTTTCTAAATTACAATTTTTATTTACTTGAGATTGAGCAGTTATCAAACTACGTGTTTTAAGAAAGGCTGAATTTTCTCCTAACACTGATGAAACGGGTGTTTATATTTATTAATTATCTCACTCCCATATTCACATATTGGTCTCTATTCAAAAAATATTTTTGATACATAGACATTTATCATCAAAAATGCATCTATGACTTTCAGTCTATTAAAAAGACAAAAATATAGGAATCAAAATAACATATTGTGCTTTTAAACCTCTTTTACTCCTACAGTCGATGGGAATATTTATTGGCTTATCGTGACTGAGTTTTATGCGTAAATGGCAAATCCACAGCAGCTAGGAAAAAAAAATTAATGAACAGAAGCATTTTTTTCTTTGCTGCCAAATAGATGTTTGCTAATTGAGATTATAGGAAGAAACACAGTGTTTTTCCTATACTCTTACCCAGCAACAATCCACACGGAAGACTTGTGTCACCAAACGTGTGGGGAATGTCCCCACCAGCAGCAAGCAGTCAGTTCCACAGCAGACACAAGCCGGGTGTCCTCCAATTCAGTTCCAACTCTATCCACCTGAAGATTGTGTCAGATCCCACAGGTTGAGGGCTTGGTCCCCAAGACTGCCCCTACCTCAGAGGCCCGTCCCAAGTCCCAGCCCCTGGAACTTCTGACCAATGTGCTATAAATCATTGTTCCCACGACCCCTTCCTTGGGTTCAATTAATTTGCTAGATTGGCTCAAAGAACTCAGGGAAACTCATACTTAACATTTACCAGTTTATTACAAAGGGTATTTTAGAGGATACAAAGAGACAGCCAGANCAGAGGCCCGTCCCAAGTCCCAGCCCCTGGAACTTCTGACCAATGTGCTATAAATCATTGTTCCCACGACCCCTTCCTTGGGTTCAATTAATTTGCTAGATTGGCTCAAAGAACTCAGGGAAACTCATACTTAACATTTACCAGTTTATTACAAAGGGTATTTTAGAGGATACAAAGAGACAGCCAGATGAAGATATACATGAGGTGAGGTCTGGAAGGGTCCCGAGCACAGGAACTTCTGTCCCCGTGGAGTTGGGCTGTGCCACCGTCCCAGCTAGTAGATATGAAAACACCCATGTGTTCACTATCAGCAATCTCTGAATGCAGTCCTTTGGGTTTTTATGGAAGCTTCATTATGTAGGCATGATTGACTAAGTCATTGGCCACTGGTGATCAACTTTCAGCCCCTGTCCCCTCCTTGGAGGTTGGGGGTGGGACTGAAAGACCCAACCCTTTAATGCTGCCTGGCCTTTCTGGTGACCCATCCCCATCCTGAAGCTACCTAAGGGCTGCCAGACACCAGTCAACTCATTAGAAAGACACAATCACTTCGAAGAGTCCAAGGATTTTTTTTTTTTTTCCTTTTTGTCTTTTTTCGTGACCGGCAACGGATCGCAACCC